CTTCACCATACAGGGAGCTATTCTTTAACCAGAGTCTCCAGGTCAGACCTGTTTCAAAACTGGAAAGTGGTTTTCTTGCAAACATTGCTGGCACACAGCAGATTACATTAAGCCTACATAATTCTCTTTGCATTCCAGTCAAAATTATTTTAAATACAGCAAGCAAGCCCCTGTTATGGGCTGAACTGTGTCTTCCTTAAAATCCACATTGAAGCCCTAACACCCAGTACCTCAGGCTGTGACTGCATTTGGGGACAGGACTTTTAAAAGGGTACTTAAGTTAAAATGAGGTCATTAGGGTGGCCCTTAATCCAAACAGGACTGGTCCTTATAAGAAGGGAAGATGGGCCAGGAGAGGTGGCTCAGGCCTGTAATCCTAGCACTTTGAGAGCCCAAGGCAGGAGGATCACTTGAGCTCAGGAGTTCAAGACCAACCTGGGCAACATGGCGAGACCCTGTCTCCATAAAAAATACAAAAATTAGCCAGGCGCGGTGGCTCATGCCTGTAATCCCAGCACTTTGGGAGACTGAGGTGGGTGGATCATGAGGTCGAGAGATCGAGACCATCCTGGCCAACATGGTGAAACCCCGTCTCTACTAAAAGTACCACAATTAGCTAGGCTTGGTGGCAGGCACCTGTAGTCCCAGCTACTTGGGAGGCTGAGGCAGGAGAATCACTTGAATCCAGGTGGCAGAAGTTGCAGTGAGCCAAGATCGTGCCACTGCACTTCAGCCTGGTGACAGAGCGAGACTCCACCTCAAAAAATAAATAAAATAAAATACAAACATTATAAATAAATTAGAAGGGGCAATTAGGACGTGGATACACATACAAGCACCGAGGAAAGACTCTGTGAGGACATAGTGACAAGGTGGCTTTCTGCAAGTTAAGGAGAGAGGCCTCAGAGGAAACCAACCTCAAACTTCCAGCTTCCAGAACAGTGAGAAAATAAATGTCTGTCGTTTGAGCCTCCCAGTATGTGGTATTTTACTATGGCAACCCTAGAAAACTACTGCAGCCCCTCAGAATAACTCATCTAATGCTTTCAGGGACTAAAATTGTAATCTCCATCTCATTAGTGAGTTTCCATTTAACCAAATTACGATAGAAAGAAGAATACTAGCAAACAACCGCTAAGGAACAGGAATAAGAGACTCAGCAGACAACGCAGTGCTCCTTGAAACACGGCTGAGGAACAGGAGTGAGGTGTGCTAAAGCATAAATTACCTTGAGGTGAATATAACAGTCTTTCAGCTCCGAGCCCCTGACGAGAGGCCCCTCCACGGGGCCGAACTGGGTGCGCTTGGGGATGCGCCGCTTGGAGAACACGCCGCCCAGAAACCTGTCGATGTAGAGCACCAGGGGGAGGCTCGCCCTCGCACGGGTGAGCACCGGCCGGTTGGGGATCGGGTGCAAGGGGCCATGCTTTGGGCACACTGAAGAATGCGCGTTATTGCACTCTTCACACCCTGCAAAAGAGAGAGAGTCTTGAAGAAAAGTCCAATTCCTCAGTATAACTTGATGTGAGGTAAAAAATTCTGACCTGAAAAATCCCCATCTGCGTTTTCAAGCCAAAATGCAATGAACTCCTAATGGTGCTACCCGTTCAATGGTAATTCACTCTCTCTGGTAGACCAGTAGTCCCAGCTACTCGGGAGGCCGAGGCAGGAGAATCGCTTGAATCGGGGCGGCAGAGGTTGCAGTGTGCCGAGATTACAGGAAAAACCCTGTAATTCTCCTCTAACATCGGACAGAATTTGCTTATGCCTGCCACAAACAACCAGCAGGCCACGACTGACTTCTCTGCCGGAGAGTCCTTTGAATAGTGGCCACTACATTTACAAATCACATTTACAAATCAATTACAACAGAGTAAAAAGAGCTTATCAGGCTAAATGTTGCACTATCTGATGAGACAAAAGAGGTGAATTTTATCCTATGCTAATAATCTCAATAAAACTTCCGCTGCCGAGGGGCTAGACTGCCTGAGCTGGAGTCCTGACCCTCTAAGTGTTGGCACAGCCCTGGGAAAGTTACCCACCTCGTGGTAGGGCCATGGAGGGCAGGAAGGAGGCAGTAGGCGCAGGGCACCCACGCCTGGGATAGAACGGCATTCTTAAAAGGCTAGCATGGAAGAGGCAAAGCAGCGAGGCAAACGTGTTAAAGCTGCAGTGGCTGAAGAGCGCGGGATCGGGCACATCTACCATGGTGGTTTGGTAGCTGAAGCTCTGGTGTGAGAGACCTCGGCTCGGCTGCCTGATGCCCCTTCGTCCCTATGTGACCCTGAGCAAGTTTCCCAATCTTCTGAGCTTCAGTTCACTCATCAGTAAAATCAGAAAACGAAGAAGAGTGTCCCTCAAAGGGCTGCAGTGAAGGCCAGGTGGGATGATGCAAGCAGAGAATGTGGCACAGTGGCTGCACATGGAAGGACCTGGTTCACGGGAGCTATGTTCTCACACACACACACACACACAGGCAAACACAGACACACACACACACACACACACAAGACAGACACAGCTTCCCTGGGGGAGTCCAGTGCCCACACTTACATAAGTCGTGCGGGTCGAAGGGCCGGGGCGGGTCTGGCTCCCAGTCATCCAGATCTGTGTCCTCTCCGTCTTCTTCCTCATCTTCCTCAGTGTCCTCATCCTCATCCTCATCCTCTTCCTCTTTGGCCTCCAGTCTGCCTAGAGGGGTCTGCAGAGTTGCCAAAGGGTCGGAGCCATCCACACCCTCGATGGAAGGCAGCACTTGGTTATGCACTGGCAACGAGGCCTGGGCAAAAGGTGAAGGCACAGAGTAAGCAGACATGGACACCTGCTTTCGGTTCGCTGGTGCCCGCTGGCAGAAACAGGGCGCAAGCGCTGGGTGGAATCTAGTCTTCGTACCAGCTCCTTCCAGGCCCTGGAAAAATGACTTCCCTCCACAGGCTGTGAGGAAGCGCTGGCTTCATTTTTGATCTGACTGCTCACAGCCTTTAACCCCCGCCCTCCCTCTGCCCCTTCGGTCCCACACCTGGGCAGGCTGCTAAGAAGGCTCAGGTGCTCCCTCCTTTGGCAGCGGGGGAGATTCAAAACTGGCAAGACCCTGGCCACCTGCGCACTGACCCCACCCCTTAAACTCAGGAAAACCTGGTCTCTGCCTGGCTCATTCAGGCCGTTTCACACTGCTTGAGGGGCCTGCCCTGTCTCCCAGAGACTTCAGATAGGTAAGCAACAGACCGTTTCAGTGTGTGCACATGTGAGGCACCATCGGTTTCCACATCTGAACTAAACCTGGGGTCGGGGGGTCCCTCTTGCCTTTCCAGAGTGGTCCCACCACAGTGGAGGGGGGACATGAGTTGACCTAACCTCAACCACTTGTCTTTTAAAACTCAACACGTCGTGCAACACATGGTTAACAAAGTTCAATAGCTCACAGCCCTCCTTTCCAACAGCTCAGGCAGGCTGAGGTTTTTAAGTAAGAATAAAAGAGATGAGATGCCTGTTTGTTTCATCATGCTGAAGTCAGTCTCCTGCAAATAAGACACAGCTTGGGTCATGTATTAGGTTAATGCTCTCTTATCAAATATCCTGGCAGAAAATGGTACCTGAAAAAGTTCTCCTGCCTCCAATCTAAGTGTTACGGGATTATACACTGGCCTAGAATCCCTTTATTCAGTCTTGCTCCTCCTGACCAGTTAGCACAAGGTCATACTCAAGCCATGTCCTAGTCAATAAATAAAGGAAGCTTTTAAAGATGCCACTCCCTTCATCTTCTCATATGTTGTTTTCCTCACCTAGAATACTCTTTCCTCAGCAACCTTCTAAATCCTACCACATTCCAGTTTCCCAGTGAACCGCCTCTGATGCCTCCAGCCCTCCCTGAGTCTCCTCTGCTCTGAACTCCTGCAGCCCTTGGAGCCATAGAATCCCTCTCACAACAGCACTCAGCGTCTGCTTCCACACTTCATGACCTCACCAGGCAGCCTGAATCATTCTGGAATAGTTCTATGACATTTTCTGTGGAGCCCAGATCTTCCACGCTTTGGTCGGGGCCCAGGACTTTCCTCTGGAGGTCGGTAGAATAAGCGTAACCCTTCTGCCACAAGAATCAAATATCTGAAGGCCAAAAACCCCTAATTCATTCAGTCATTTCTCAAATGACCAAACTCCCAGCTCCCTGATCATCTTGTTGTCTTCATTTATTTTGCAGTGGATTCCATATTTTTATTAATACAACATCAGGGTGCATTAGTGTTTACGCTGGCCACATTGTTCTACTGCAGACCCATCTTGAACCTGCAGGTAACTAAAATTCCTAAGTCCTTTTTTCCCTACATAGAGTGCTATTAAACCATTTTTCCCCTCCTCAGGACTTCAAGAGCTGATTTTTACTTAAATGGGGGATTTTGCATTTATCTCCAGTAAATTTCATTTCACTACTTTTATCTGTTCTTCCCGTCTGCCAAGATCTTTAGACTCTAGATCCAGACATCTCACACATTAACTATCCCTACAGCTTTGCATCCATTGCCAGACACCATCTATTTTGGTGATAAGTATGCGTTTTCACATGAGTCCATCTTGCCTCTCCAACTGCACCTCAGGGAAGTAGACTATGGGCTTTGGAGTCAGGCATTTAGAGTAAAATCCTTGCCCCGCCACTTAGCAAGTTACTATCGTTCTCTGAACCTCAGTTTCTTTGTCTGTAAAATGGACGCAGTAATACATGCCTCAGGTTCTGTAAGTACTAAGTGAAACAATATGTATATAAGGTCAGTAGCAGAGTATATAGCATTTAGTAAGTGCTTAGTATCAATCATTGTTATCCTAAGTTCTTTAAGGACCATGATGGTATCATATACTTTCTCCTCAAATTTAAAAGATTGCTGAGCATAAAGTAGGTATTCAATGAAGATTAATTTGTTGAAATATATTTGGCCTTTTGGGAAATGACATCAATCCCTTCAGGCATCTAGAGAAAGTCTTTGTGGCTATTCACAGAAACAGCCTTTTCCTGCAGTGCATCTTAATCGAAGAACTTATCAAACTCTAAAAAGAGGCAGGGTGTGGCTGGGCATGGTGGCTCATGCCTGTAATCCCAGCACTTTGGGAGGCCAAGGTGGGCAGATCACCTGAGGTCAGGGTTTCGAGACCAGCCTAGTCAACATGGTGAAACCCCATCTCTACTAAAAATACAAAAAAAAATTAGCTGGGCATGGTAGCGGGCACCTGTAATCCCAGCTACTCGGGAGGCTGAGGCAGGAGAATCACTTGAACCCAGGAGGCGGAAGTTGCAGTGAGCCGAGATCACGCCATTGCACTCCAGCCTGGGCGACAAGAGCGAAACTCCATCTCAAAAAAAAAAAAAGAAAAAAAAAAAAGAGGCCAGGCGTGATGGCTCATGCCTGTAATCCCAGCACTCTGGGAGGCTGAGGCAGGAGGATTGCTTGAGCCCAGGAGTTCGAGACCAGCCTAGGCAACATGGTGAAACCCTGTCTCTACAAAAAATACAAAATTTAGCTGGGCAGTGGTGGCATGTGCCTGTGATCCCAGCGACTCAGGAGACTGACGTGGGAGAATCGTTTAAGCCCAGTAGGTTGAGGCTGCAGTGATCTGTGATGGTGCCAGTGCACTCCAGCCTGGGTGACAGAGCAAGGCCCCGTCTCAAATAATAAAAAGAACTCTAAAGAAACGGTACTGAGTGTGTTTATTGAGGGCCTGACCTGCAGTGGCAGTGTAAGAGCATTGCCCAACATTTGAAACGCTCGGGCTCCAGAAAGCAGATCAAACCGGCTATCTCAAACTGCATCCGCATGCTTAACACATGCTCATTTAACTTTTGCATGACATTCCACTTCTGCGACTCAGGGTCTTTTAGAAAGTTTTACGTGGGAGGCCAAAATTCTGGAAGACGCTTCTGCCTCAGCTTCAGTAAAAACAACATAAAATGCCCTGTGAGGCTGAGGACTCCACAGGGAACTTCTAGCGGTACAGCTGCTGTAGCCACCTCCCCCTCGACCTCCTCCATAGAACCTGCGAGGAAGTGACTGTATTCCTGCTCCCTGTCTCAGAGCACAGCTTACAATATTGCCCCTTGTCCTAAGTGCTTAAGCATTATGCCAGGGTTAGTGATAAATGTTACCATACATTGAACAAACCAAAGCATATATGCACCTCTACTCCTCATAAATCCGCTCTGCAGAGCCAACCTGAAAGAATGAATTCAGCAATTCAGTTATTCTAGTGAAACTGCAATGTATTTTGCCCCAACAGATGCTGTCAGAAGGACTCTGGTTTGGCAAGGTGACTGGCTTCTTGCCACTGCTGAGAAAGCTGACATCAAGATAAAACCAACCTTTTCTTCCCCGTGCTGGACCTCTCTCCTAACAGACTGTGGCAAAAGGAAATGCTTAAACACTCCAGCATCGTCTTTAAGGGCTAACGATAAAAGCAGAGTTTGGATATTTACCAGAAACATGCAAACTACTGTTGAAAAGGAATGGAAAGAGCTGGTGACTATCATTTCTAGGTAAGAACTGTATACTTCTAGACAACATAGACCTTAACATACAACAGGCATGCATTACAAATTTAATGAATCACAAATTCAAATTCAGCTGGTGTTTACTGATGCTAGGCACGTATTTGAATTCCTTTGAGGTCAGGTGATGTTACAACCCTCCTAAGTGGCAGAGATGAAGTTTAAATTCTGACTCTGCACTGCTTTTTCCAGTACATGACAATGGCCCTAGGGAATTCAGTCCATTCAAGGAGGGCAGCAGAAGAGGTAAACATCACCCACGCTTTGAATACCTGGGCAACAAGGTAACCACACATGCTCCTGAAGTCACCGCCAGGCAGTAGGTTGGCAAGCAGTGTGTGTGTGTTTCACTTAGAGGACGAGAGTACGAAGCAAAACCATTTTAATCTTGTGCATTTTGTCATGTACAATAAAATACAGTAAAAGGAAAAAGAATCTATAAACTTATGGTATACTTTCTCCTTCCCACTTAATACCACTCTCTAATTATTTCTGAAAGGACATAATGCATTTCAGGATGCAATTTATCTGAGAAGTGAAACATGAAACGACTACGCTGGACAGCAGCACACACAACAGAATGCTTCTTGATTCCTACTGAGACCAATTATCAGGGCAGCATATTTTCCTCTCAGTGTGTGGGGAGTCACACATGTTCATTTTCAAAAACAATGGGGAGACTATGCCTGGAGACCACTGATGCCTTTCTTAAGGACAAGGGAATGCGTACGTGAAAAATGCTTCAAGCACATTTTGCCCTCACTAAAAACAACTGAAAATATAACAGGAACCTTTTGCCTAAAAAGAAAACAAAAACCAAAAAAAAACAAAAAAACAAAAAAAAAAACACCATCATCTGTGTTAAACCCTCAATCTAACTTTCTATCCAGAATTTATCCAGGTCACCAGATACACCGACAACCGCTGAGGTGTTATAACCAGAAATAACAACTGTGCTGGTTGAAAGGAAACTGCAATGGAGAGAGATGCCAAGCCAATAGTTCCACTGTCTTGTAATGTCAGGGTTTGTGGAGCTGAGCACAACTTTCCTTCTGAGCACAACCTGAAACAGGCAGATTGTTTCTGGAGATGGGGAAAGATGAAGAGCCCTTTGAAGTGCAAATGGCAACGAAGCCTTTCATTAAAACTATCCCTCAATAATAAAACAACACAAATCTGCCTATCAGATGGGCAAAATTTGAAAAGAATGCAGATACTCAGTGTGGCAAGAGTGTATGGAAATGGGGCACTCTTGGACAGTATTTTGTTGGTGGGAATACAAACATTTTCAGTGTCTGAAAAGCAATTTAGAAAATCAATTATCAAAATAATTTCACACAAATATAAAATAGAATAGTATAATAAACCTCATGTATCCATAACTCAGCTCAACAATTATCAATTCATGGCCAATCAACTTTTTTTTTTTTTTTTTGAGATAAAATATGTCTGTCTGGAGTGCCGAGTGGCTTAATCACAGCTCACTGCAGTCTCAATCTCCAAGGCTCAAGTGCTCTTCCCACCTCAGCCTCCCGAGTAGCTGGGATTACACATACATGCCACCATGCCTGGCTAATTTTTCTTTAGTTTTTGTAGAGACAAGGGTCTTCACTATGTTGCCTAGGCTGGTCTTTAACTCCTGGGCTCAAGTGGTCCTCCTGTCTCAGGGATCCCAAAGTGCCAGTATTATAGATGTGATTCACCGTCCCTGGCCGCCAATTCACGGCCAATCTTATTTCAATTAATCTACCTACTTTCTCCCTCATTGGATTACTTAGAAGCAAAACCAAGACATTATACGTTTTCATCTGTAAATAGTTGAGTACAATAAAATGACTTTTAGATTGCATATCTTATCATA